CCCCCCCCCCCCCCCCCGACGACATCGGTGACGTCGCGTCGTCGTGTCAGGCCCTGCTGGTCTCCGTGGGCACGGCGTTAGCGCTAAGAATAGGGACAGCTCCACTCCCCACTGCTGCCGAACGTCATTTATTTGGTGTTTTGTTCTGCCCCCCCCCCTCTCCCCCCCCTCGCAGGAAGAACCCGATGCCGCCAGCGAAGGGAAGATTGCCGGGGAGGATCGGGCCGAGGATAAGGTGAGCCTTGTCGCATAGCCCACCACGACGCGCAGCTAATAATATTTTCGCAGAGATAAAAAGAGGGGGGGCGGGGGCGAGACAGATATAAGAGACAGATTTTGTAGAGAGGAAGAAAGACAGAGAGAGAGAGCTGTCCCCCTTAGCGCAATAGCGTGAGAGAATCGAGGTGGAACGCCATATCTATGTTCTGGGCATAATGACACGTCCCAAGACCAGTGCTCGTATCTTCCTTTATTGTTTTCTTTCGAATTGCATTTATTAATATTTTCTACCGCCCGAGGGAAGAGAGAGATACCAAACTGGCAGAGAGCACATTTCCCGCAGACACGTTTCTGCGGCCTTTCTATCGTGCCTCTGCCTCTCTCCCAATAAAGACTGTCTCTCTCTTCCCTCCAAACAGCAACTGAGGGTGCCCTCTCCTGCGGTGGAGGGAACCAATCTTACTGCACACAGTAGTCTCAGATGACCAAGTCCCTAAAATGGTACCCTACCATTTTCTTCGCCTCACATACATACAGCTATAAGTTCTACCGGATACTTAATTCGTCCTCTCCTTTCCCCCACCTTCGAAAGAAAAGGGGTGGGTGGGTGGGAAAAGACTCCACTTCCTGTCAGCTCCAGAGGCTGGCACACCGCTAGAAGCCTTCTATGTGACCACCTCGCTAGTTGTCTCTGCGATACTCTCTCTCTGGCACGCTAAGACTCTGTGGACACAAGGCTTGAACAGAATGGTAACATATGCGACTCCTCCTCTAGACCGAGGGGGCCCCGCAGTACGCAATGCATTCCGGGTACCCCAATATAAACAGTATGGCAATTCGAGTTGTTTCAATAAACCTCGGTTTGTTTTGTCTACGCCTTTGTCTACGCCTTAAACAAACCTGCCCTTTATTGTTTTCTTTCGAATTGCATTTATTAATATTTTCTACCGCCCGAGGGAAGAGAGGGATACCAAACTGGCAGAGAGCACATTTCCCGCAGACACGTTTCTGCGGCCTTTCTATCGTGCCTCTGCCTCTCTCCCAATAAAGACTGTCTCTCTCTTCCCTCCAAACAGCAACTGAGGGTGCCCTCTCCTGCGGTGGAGGGAACCAATCTTACTGCACACAGTAGTCTCAGATGACCAAGTCCCTAAAATGGTACCCTACCATTTTCTTCGCCAACATCGAGGTCATCATGACACTACTCGTGCAGTGGGATTAGCTCCTGTTACTGCCTACCTACCGCACACAGTGCTTTCCCCCGATTGCCTCCCGACTCGCTATGTCGTACCGAACGGGACACCCCTTGCGAGTCCTCTACTGTGGGCGGCTCCTACACATTCCTCTGACTTCATCTTCCCGCCCTTCGGAATACTCGTTCCAATGTGTTGCCCCCAACAGCCATATACAGCAAATTCCCAAATCCTTAGCTAAATGGTGCAGCGCGCGTTAGTTTCTGGGATTCACCCCTATTTCGTAACTATTTGCCTCGAAGCTCCGCGGGCTTGGGCATACTTCATAACTTGCACTGCACAACCTTTAACTAAGACAGGAAGTTTAACGGCGCGTCATCGGGCAACGTTGCACAACATGACAACGACGCCACCACCAGAGCAACTGCTCCGCCGTCTGCTCTATATCCCGATCATGGGCCGTTAACCTCATCCCGATTCTTGGATCGCCTGATGCGATGCACGAGGAGAACCCTGACCACTCCGGCGTTACGACGGCAGGCGGCACCTGCAGACGGCGACGGCAAGCCAAGCCGAGGCAATAATCGGCACGGCGGTGATACGGGTGGCTTCCTACACACTGCCGCCGCATCGACCAGCTGCCCGCTCCGCGATTGAGGACCCGATGAGGTCGTCCATCAGGTCTGAGTTCGCTTGTGCCTTAAATCTCGCTGCAGCCCTTGTTGCCATGCCGTTGGGCCGCCCTCATTCGGCCGTGTGTTTTAATTCACTCAGCTCTCGGCGACCCCTTCAATAACTTCCTTTTGATTCCACCGCCGCCCCTGGGCCGCGGTCTGCGGTCCGCGGAGAAGACCGTGCACGGCACGGGCGCCTTGCTGCTCCCCGAGCGGGCGAAAGCCCTGGCTCCCATGAAGACGGTCGCGGCGTGGTCGCGGCGTGGGGCACCCGGCGGACATATCCGCCGTCATGGATTCTGAAAGGAAACACCTGGCGTTGCCGGCCACGATCCCCACGCACCGGTCCGCCCGCGTCCTGCCGCCCTGCCCAGGCGTGACCTCGATTCAATCGCCATCTGCGAGTGTGCAAGCGCTCCCTTTCACAACAAGCAACAGAGCAAAACGAAACCGAGTTGATGCGTTTCGTCCACGCGAATAGCGGAAAAATTGGCATTTAAATATTTCGAGCGTACATCGCACGAATGCCGACTGTGTAAATGTGGGTAGTGCTGTTGAAATAAGCCCCCCCAAACCAGGCCACCAAAACACGATTGATGTGTTTCGCCCCGGCACATACCGATTGCACATCATCTGCACGATATACATGACCAACCGCGTAACCGCACAAACTCGGCGGCCGCAGGAACGGCACAACTGTATGAAACAGGCGGCCCTACCACAGAACCAACAACGAATGTTGGTTGTTTTGTCCTGGCGGATACTGACAAATCCACACCATGGTCATGATTCTACTGGATAGTGAGAATCGCTCGAATGCGACAACCGCGGGAAGCACTGTTGTTGCTAGGAACACGCCCACACCCGCGGCCGCCATTCACGACTCATGTGTTTGGTTGTCGGCATAATATATCCGCGTGAATCGCCCACTGCGAAAACCCTGTCAGCACTGTTCGAAACCAAGCCTACAAATCATGGTCGCCAATCACAAATTCATGTGATTCGCAGTGGCAATGTTGAAAACATATTGTGATTGCCATGATTGCCGGATGTTTTGCGAATGCGCTGGCCGCATTAGACAGCGTGTTGCAACCGGAGCTCCATCACCACTCGCAGAAATCACCATGATATGACTGGGACACGTTAGATTGGGTGGTCTAAGCAGATACTGGCAACCAAGTTCTGATCGACATTTTTGCAGGAATCACACGAATGCGACGGCCTCGGTAGGCAACATCGTTGCAACAACTACCGCACCACCGCCAGCCACGATTGATGTGTCTTGTTCCGGTAGACACTGACCGAGCACAATATGAATGGATGGTAAGACTGCGTGAATCGTCAAAGCGCGACCATCGCAGTTGGCATCGCTTCGAAAACCTAACGCTCCCACCCCATCTGCAAAACATTGTAGACGTGTTTAGTTCCGTCGCCTACTTAAATTTTATTCCTCGTGATGCATTCATGGCTGCGTGAACCGTGCAAAGCGACATCTGTGATATGCCGCAAACTTCATGACCGCCAAGCACAAGTGATATTTGTGGTCCCCGCAAAAGAATGGGCTGCGTAGACCGCACGATGCGACACTCTGGTATGTACTGCTGCGAAAACAACAAGCCTACCAACCACGGTCGCCAATCACGATCCCGGCAGAAATATATCTGCTTGAGTCGCCCACTGCGGAACCCCTGCTAGTTAGCACTGGTCAATACGAAGCACCGACCTGGACCGTCAAACACGATTGATGCGTCCGGTGCCGGCATACACAAGTCTGCGTCAATCTGCGACAATTCTCGTACGTAGCACTGTTCCGGTCAAGCTCACCGACCACGGCCCCTAGACACGAGTCATGTGTTTGGTCCCGGCATAAACTGATCTGCGTGAATCGCCCAATGCGACGACCCTGGTAGATGTCCATGTTCAGAAACAAGAAGCTACCAACCACGGTCGCCAAACACGATTTATGTGCTTGGTTCCGGCATGAACAAATGTGTCTGAATCGCCTGATGCGACAATCCTGACAAGTAACACTGTTCCAAAATGAAGTTCACCAGCCACCGCCGCCAAATACGATTGGTGTGTTTGGTCCCGGCATACACAAACCGGCGAGAATCGCCCCATGCGGCAACCCTGGCAAAATCTCCCCATGCCACAACCTTGGTAGGAAACACTGTACAAAGTGAAGCTCACCAGCTACGGCCGCCAAACACGATTGATGTGTTTGGTTCCGGCATAAACTGACCTGAAGAACCGCCTCACTCGACAACCCTGGTAGGTTGCTACAATGGACAACGAGTGACAACATCAAATATCGACATCCCTTGTCGGGGACCATAGATGTTGAGAGGTTTGTCCCGATATCCATTGTCCAAAACAGTGGATTTTGAAAGTTCCTTTCAACCTCCCTTGTCAAGGACAACAAATTATTCAAAAGGTTCTGTCGATATCTGTTGTCAACCGTAACAGATTTCGATGGTGCCTATTGATATGAATTGTGCATAGCAACAGACGTTCAACGGTTTTCTCCGAAGCCATTGCCACTGGGTTCATGACATGTCATCGATATACATCGTTTACTGCAGTAGATTCTTGAGCGGGCTACCGATATATATCGAAACGCAACATCGATAGTCGTTATCTCGAGCAATCTGTCCTCAAGGTCGTAAAGGATATCCACTTGCACGAGAACATGTTCGAAGGCTTCTTCTAATACTGCCCGCAATGTCTATCGGAAGGAAGCCTTCGAAGTCTGTTGTTGCCAACGATGTCTATCGTGACATTCGACAGGCATTTCAATTTGCAATAGATTGCACAAGTCATCTGTCAATAGGCTCGGTCTTTGGCAATAGTGCGAGAAATCCAGCAACCGATCACCCTTACCGACGGCAATATACTCGTCTATGTAGCAGCAGAAATAGAAGCCTACCTGGTACACGGTCTATTTCGTGGTGTGGTAGGTAGCAGAAGCTCACCAACCACGGCCGTCACACACGATCGGTACCAGCATAAAAACAAAAAATCTGCGTGAATCGCCCCATGCGACAACCCTGGCAGGTGGGACTGTTCAAAACGAAGCTCACCAGCCACGGCCGCCAAACACGATTGATGTGTTTGGTCCCGGCATAACCTAATCTGCGTGAATCGCTCCATGCGACAACCGGGGTTAAGTAGCGCTCAAACGTAAAGCTCACCACCACAGCCGCCAAACACGATTGATGTGTTACGTTCCGGCGAAACTGATCTGCGCGAATCGCCCCATGCGACAACCCTGGTAGATAGCCATGTTCAGAAACGACAAGCTCACCAACCACGGCCGCCAAACACGATTGGTGTGTTTGGTTCTGGCATAAACAGACTGCGTGAATCGCCCAAGGCGACAACTCGAGGAGGTATGTAGCGCTGTTGCGAAAACAAGTCCATCAACTCCGGCCGCCAGTCTCTACTCATGCGTGTGGTTCCGGCTGTTACGTTCTCTATGTCTGTGCGTGAATCGCCCCCGGCGACAACTCTCGTAGTTAGCGCTTGATGAAAACAAAACAAGTACACCAATCACGGCCGCCACACGCTGTTCATGTGTATGGTTCTGGCAGTAATCTCTGTACCTGTGCGTGGATCGCCCCACAGGCAACAACTCTCGTAGGTAGCACTTGTTGAAAACAAATAAGTCCACCGACTCCGACCGCCACCCCTACTCATGCGTGGGTTTCGGCAGTTACATTCTCTGTATTCATGCGTGAATCACCCCCGGCGGCAACTCTCGTAGGTAGCGCTTGTTGAAAAACAGAACAAGTCCACCAAATCCGGCCGCCACGCGCTATTCATGTGTATGGTGTCGGCATTTACACTCTCTATATTCATGTGTGAATCGCCCACCGGCGACAACCCTAATAGGTAGCGCTGTTGACAAACAAGCCCACCAACCACGGCCGCCACACACTTCTCATGCGTGTGGTTCCGGGATTCACACACTTCTGTATTCATGCGTTAATTGCCCACAGGCAACAACCCTGGTAAGTAGCGCTGTTGACAAACAAGCCCACCAACGACGGCCGCCGCACACTTTTCATGTGTGTGGTTCCGGCATTCACGCTCTCTGTATTCATGCGTGAATTGCCCCACAGGCAACAACCCTGGTAAGTACCCCACCGACCACGGCCGCCACGCACTATGTATGTGTGTGGTTCCCGCATTTACACTTTCTGTATTTATGCGTTAATTGCCCCACAGGCAACAACCCCGGTAAGTAGCGCTGTTGACAAACAAGCCCACCGACCAAGGCCGCCACACACTTTTCCTGTGTGTGGTTTCGGTATTTACACTTTCTTGGTATTTATGCGGGAATCACTCACAGGAAACAACCCTAGTAGGTAGCGCTGTTGCGAACACAAGATCACCAACCACGGCCGCCACACACTATTTGTTATGAGTGTGGTGCCGGCATTCATACCCTCTCTATTCATGCGTGAATCGCCACACAGGCAACAACCCTGGTAAGGAGCGCTGTTGCGAAAACAAGCCCACCAACCACGGCCGCCACACACTATTTGTTATGAGTGTGGTTCCGGCATTTACACTTTCTCTATTCATGCGTGAATGGCCACACAGGCAACAACCCTGGTAAGTAGCGCTGTTGGGAAAACAGGCCCACCAACCACGGCCGCCACACACTATTGATGTGTGTGGTTCCGGCATTTACACTCTCTATATTCAGGCGTGAATCGCCACACAGGCAACAACCCTGGCAAGTAGCGCTGTTGCGAAAACACGCCCACCAACCACGGCCGCCACACACTATTTATGTGTGTGGTTCCGGCATTTACACTTGCTGTATTGATGCGTGAATCGCCCACAGGCAACAACCCTGGTAAGTAGCGCTGGTGGGAAAACAAGCCCACCAACCACGGCCGCCACACACTATTTATGTGTGTGGTTCCGGCATTTACACTTTCTCTATTCATGCGTGAATCGCCACACAGGCAACAACCCTGGTAAGTAGCGCTGTTGCGAAAGCAAGCCCACCAACCACGGCCGCCACACACTATTTATGTGTGTGGTTCCGGCATTCATACTCTCTGATTTCATGCGTGAATCGCCACACAGGCAACAACCCTGGTAAGTAGCGCTGTTGCGAAAACAAGCCCACCACCATGGCCGCCACACACTATTTATGTGTGTGGTTCCGGCATTCGTACTCTCTGATTTCATGCGTGAATCGCCACACAGGCAACAACCCTGGTAAGTAGCGCTGTTGCGAAAACAAGCCCACCAACCACGGCCGCCACACACTATTGATGTGTGTGGTTCCGGCATTCATACTCTCTGTATTCATGCGTGAATCGCCACACAGGCAACAACCCTGGCAAGTAGCGCTGTTGCGAAAAACAAGCCCACCAACCACGGCCGCCACACACTATTTATGTGTGTGGTTCCGGCATTCATACTCTCTGTATTCATTCGTGAATCGCCACACAGGCAACAACCGTGGTGAGTAGCGCTGTTGCGAAAACAAGCCCACCGACCACGGCCGCCACACACTATTTATGTGTGTGGTTCCGGCATTTACACTTTCTCTATTCATGCATGAATCGCCACACAGGCAACAACCGTGGTAAGTAGCGCTGTAGCGAAAACAAGCCCACCAACCACGGCCGCCACACACTATTTATGTGTGTGGTTCCGGCATTCGTACTCTCTGTATTCATGCGTGAATCGCCCACAGGCAACAACCCTGGTAAGTAGCGCTGTTTCGAAAACAAGCCCACCAACCACGGCCGCCACACACTATTGATGTGTGTGGTTCCGGCATTCATATCTCTGTATTTATGCGTGAATCGCCCACAGGCAACAACCGTGGTAAGTAGCGCTGTTGCGAAAACAAGCCCACCACCATGGCCGCCACAAACTATTTATGTGTGTGGTTCCGGCATTTACACTTTCTCTATTCATGCGTGAATCGCCACACAGGCAACAACCGTGGTGAGTAGCGCTGTTGCGAAAGCAAGCCCACCACCACGGCCGCCACACACTATTTATGTGTGTGGTTCCGGCATTTAATACTTGTTGTATGCACACTTCTGATCATACCACGATCGACTGATCGCTATTAAATCAACAACAACGTGCTGGCGTCAAGGTATGCTTGGTGCTGTCCAGCAACTTTCTCAGTACAATTGTATGTACTCTGGGAGGACTTCAACGGATTCCGTCGAATCGGGCCTCGATTCTCACGGCAAGTCTCCAACAATTTATTGTAACTTTGTAAGTAGTGTCCACATACTTCGCTGGCAATTGCACAATCTCTGGCTTTTATCGACTGCAGCGTAAATCTGAATCCAGAATATCCCCTGTGATACCCACTCGTGTACAGGACACCATGTGATCCAGCATTCGTGTATGTACTTCCATCGCGTATCGACACCAAACAATAATAGTTTGTGGGTATTGTCTTGCTTGGCTGTGGCCACCACACACTCGTTAGATGCGGAGCCGGTATTGAAACCACGTTCAACATCGTGAACGTAACGCCACAGAACCCACAGTTATTTTTTTTTTTCTCCCGCATCGATGCGGAACAACTGCTGTATTTGCGAGTGTATGTATATCATGCACATGACTGCGTATTCTTCGTACGGTGGCAACAGCCGTGACAGCCAGCGCTGTCGAAGCAGGCCCACCAACCTCGGCCACCAAACCCGGTTATGTGTTTAGTCATTGAATCACGTGCGACATGGGTGACTGGGTCCGCCACCGAATCAACCCAGCAGTAGCGGGATCTCTCTCCCCATGCAAACACTCCGTTGGGGTTGTGGTTGTGTCTCTCCTTTTTTTTTTGACACACCATAACACATTGTGGGTTTTGCTCTCTTCCCACATCATCCCACATTGTCATCACATCACAACACATACCGCTCAGTGTTGCGCCCTAGATGCCACGCCTGCCGGCGCCTGGCGTCCTTGCTCTCCTCTCCGCTCTCGTCACATCTCGGGACCCCGAGTTCTCAGTTATGACTGCTGTAGCTCGGGTAGCCCGATTTCCCAACTGGAAGAGGAGGCAAGAAAATACTCCACTTCCTGTCAGCTCCAGAGGCTGGCACACCGCTAGAAGCCTTCTATGTGACCACCTCGCTAGTTGTCTCTGCGATACTCTTTCTCTGGCACGCTAAGACTCTGTGGACACAAGGCTTGAACAGAATGGTAACATATGCGACTCCTCCTCTCGACCGAGGGGGCCCCGCAGTACGCAATGCGTTCCGGGTACCCCAATATAAACAGTGTGGCAATTCGAGTTGTTTCAATAACCTCGGTTTGTTTTGTCTACGCCTTTGTCTACGCCTTAAACAAACCTGCCCTTCAACAAACAATGCAACTGTGGTGTTTCTGTGCGGTACTATAGATGATGAGTTTTGTGTTGCTTTTACGATAACATACTCACTCCGTGGTAGCTCGAAAGCACGGGGAATTCCGATGTTTCCGCGGTATTTTTTGTAAGGTAATGGGGCACTTCAATTTGTTCGTTAACGGTTTGGGCGTTAAAGGTAAAATCAATTTATCACGGAAACGATTTGGATGGGAACGGTAATAATTCTCACTTTTCACGGGATCACGGGAAACGGTAATTACCGTGGTTTTACTGCGGTAAAATTACCGCGGAGAAATTAAAGACGACAGCCCTGCCTTTTTGTCATCCACAACCACGAGACAGGCACCAACCAGCGCACAACAAGAAGAAAGGCAATATATAGCAAACTGGCGTAGGCATACTGTACATCCATCCGCTACTGTGTGACATGATGATCTATAATGATATTATTTAATTAGTAGAACAAGATGAGAGAGGACTCCGCGACAGAGAAAGAGACACCCTCGCTCGCTCCCATTTTTCCCGTTAGGATTTATTTGTCGTCGTTTCGTCACGCCGTCACGCACGAAATCTAATCCGTTCAAAGGATCAAAGGAAAAGCGGACCACGGATTGGAGGCAGCCCTGCAAGAATGCCATCATGTTTTCTCTGTTTCTCAGATACCAGTTGTTGGTGCGCATCAAAATATTTGTCTGGCCACGATGCTTTTTCACCTCCTCGGTATTAGAAAAACGAATCATGTCAGGATTTCACATGAACAATGTTCGTATGTATTCGTTCATATCATTTCGCGCGATTATGTCTGTCACGTGGTTACAAGTCCTACAGGCCCATGTCAACGGTAACCAAAGTATTTAGTTGTCAATCATTGTATCTCCACTCAACGTTTTTCAATCCTGACACTTGCCATTTTGGATGAAAACTAAAATAATGTTGTCACCTAATGGTCCTATTGGTACATTGTCACATTTACGCTGGAGAGTAAATGTCCTGTCCTTGTTGTACACTTTGTCACATTTACATCAGAAGTAAATGTCATGTCCTTGTCATATCCTTTGTCCATACATTTTGGGAACAACATATTGTTGGATAAGTTTGTTTGTCAACACTAACATTTAGTGTTTGTCTTGTCAACGTGTTATTGTTCAGTTAAACTCAAGTTCACATACTTCTTAGTTTTTGGTGGAGTGCGAGCTCTATCACCACAAAAAACTGGGGGGGTGATATGGGACTTGTGTCTCCTGAACCAACACACCTCCTTTCATGTATATCTGTAACGTCCATACGTCAGTCGGAGAATCCCTCCGACTGGACGCATCCCCGTCATTGTCATCAGTAAGGAGACACTTCGGTTCATGATCTTGATGGTCAACGCCTCTGCCCGCCCTCGCCCCTCTCAGCTCACTTCTTTTCACTACCTCAGTCTCTGGTTCCACTAGACCTGTCCGACTGTCCACGTGGTTCTACACGTGCCCTACTTTCATCGTCGTTGCTCTACGTGAGGACAACTTGCTCGTCGCAAGAGTAGAGAGCTCGTAACTCTTATCGACTGCGCCCTAGACTAAATCCCACATGGGTACATGAAAAAATTAGTAGACGCCGCTGGGTATACCCACCACGATGTCGGACAGAAGTGGGCACTCTGGTGAGGCCTTGCGCGCCTCGGCGGTATTAGGGCCAAAGCTGTGCCCGGCAGTGGGAAAAAATCGATGCCCGTGCTGTGTATGGTCCCTGGCTGGGTCGCCCAGGTGTCAGAATGGGGTGTTGAGTCGTTTGGGGGTCGCCTACGGAGGGCGCGCGCGCTGGATTTTCGAGTACTCACGTTTGTCCGAGAATGGCGTGGGCATACCCACTTTTGTCCATTCCCCATAAATAAGCGACATACCACTGCTGCCGACTTTGACCGACGGATTGCAGCAGGTTTCGGCAATACTACAGCAGTAGTTTCCCCGCGACACAGAAGCAGACCACGTACAGCAGTATTGCAGTACTCTCTCCATGTATTTGCCCAAACGTACAAACTACATGCAGAGAGAGGTGGACTCACAAAATAGGTACAACAGCGCCGTGGCACCAGCATGATTTGATATGTATGTTTGCTACAGAGTCAAGGGAATACATATGGGTGCAGCAGCTTGTACCATGAATACCACCCGACACATGCTTCAACTTGCAGTGCGAGACAAAGAGTTGGGGTGGCGGGGGTGCGAGCGAGTGCGGTGAGACAACAGAGAGGGGACGAGAGCGAGACACACACACACACACACCAGGCGGCGTAGACAGAAAACAAGCTTCTCACACACCTCGAGGCCCGGGACATGATGGTTTCTCCTTTCAACAACCTGGCTGGCGGTAGCCAGCAAGTAGGACATGCTCTCGGCATCGTGTTGCTTCGCGCTTCGCCTTGGCCCGAGGTGTTGCCTGACGCCGAGCAGGGAAAACTGAATGCGGCTGGACCTACAGCAGCGCCATTAACCTCTGCTGAATCCAGCCGGGATTTGCCCTTGGTGACCACCAACCCTATCTATGTTGGGCCCTACCACGGTATCGCGCGTGTGGGATCGTTGTGTGTGGAGTGCGGGATGTGGTTGAAGGGGTATGCCCTCTCGCCATCACATGCGGCGAGATTTATTTGGAAAGTTGCCTTGCAGCGTGTAAAAAAATGAAGATGTTGGTTCCAGATATTTATATTTGGACCCGAATTTCCGGGGGTTTGACATTTTTGTGTAACGCCGTGAGATATCTCATGGGCGCCCATGGGCCCCCATGGAACCCCATGAGGTCGATATTATGGTGACCCATGGGGGTCCATGGGTCCCATGGGCCCCCATGAGAACAATCTCATGGGAACCCATGGGCCCCCATGGGTCCTCATGAAGTCCAATGAGAATCCCATGGGACCCCATGAGAAATCTCATGTATTGTCATGGGGGTCCATGGGAGCCATGGGTCCCCATGGACCACGATAAAAATCGATAGTCTCATGAGATATCTCATGGGGTACCATGGAAAACCACCCCATGGTGCCCCATGAGATTTGCCATGGGGTCCGTAAATATATTTTTTTATCGTTCGCCATGAGCCCTCATGGCGTGCTATGGGGCACCATGAGATCCCATGAGAAACAAAAGATAAAAAGCGAAAAAAGTGGAAATAAAATAAAAGCTATGGGCCTCATGAGGCCTGATGGCGCCCCATGAGGCCCCATGGGGCCCCATGGGGCACCATGGGTCACCGTGGAGTCTACCAGTTTATTTTGTTAATTTCAATAAAATTGGTAGCCCATGGGGGTCCATGAGGAAGTCGTGTCTCCCCATGGCGCCTCATGAGAACCCACGGGGTATAATTAAATTACTAACTATTTTATTTATTTCCTATAATATTACGCGTTTCCCTGTCGGATTTTTTTTTTTTCAAACTTATCTTCGAAACCCCATGGGGTACCGTGGGATACCGAGGGTCACCATGGGTGACGACGAAGTGCACTATGGGTGGCCATGGGCCCCAATTTTATGCTGGCCATGGGGCACCATGAGAAACCTCACGCATGTACGACGGTGGGGCACCATGAGCTACCATGAGAAACATTATATGATATTATGTAATAATAATGTAGTTTTTTCCTGAAAACAATATTATTATAATAAAAATATATTTATAATTTATAAATACTTATTTGTAATAATATTTATTTCTATATATTTTGTATATATATTTATTAAATTTATTTATACATATTTTATATATATTTTATATATATATTATATATTTATATATTTATATATATATATATAATAATATATATTTTTTATAAAATATATTTATTTAATTTATTTATATATATATATTTAATTTTTATGAATATATTAATTATTTAATTAATATTTTTATGATAAAATATTTATTAATTATTATGATAAATATATATTCATCATTATTTTTATTATACGAAGGAACTACGTGTATTTTAATAAAGAAGAACTGCGGAAAATACAGTTATAGTTTCTGTTAATTTAATGTACAAAATAAATGTAGATGCCTCGCTTAGTTCTTCTGTACTCATATTCGCCTTAGTTGGGTTGATTTTAACTTAGTTTCTGCTTTGCATTACATCACGGAGAGTGTTCAGAGTTCGTGTGGAGTAACGGACTCCGTTCCGAAGAACGGTCCGGAATTACTGTAACCAACCGTGCGAATTAATTCCGAGAACAACGGAAAGACAATCAACACGGCATGGCATTATCGGGGACACCGCACACCGCACGTCCAAGCTCCCAAAGAATCGACTGTCCGCGTCGGCGCTCCTACCGGGCGCAGGTAAGTCCCTACCTTTGCCGTGTGCATGCTGTGGTACCTGGCTGGCAGACATGCTGCCGTTGTTTTAGAGTGAGCAGCAGTACCGTACCCCCCATGGGAGGAACAAACGTATCTGAATTCTTCTTGCGTCTCGCCGTATTTAGAACGAGCCCTTTTTTTGTACACCTACCTGCACAACAAGAAGCCGGAACGGGTGTGTGTGACGTCCTACACGGCGTGGACGTCGGAGACTATATCTCGCCTCCTCACACACGCCCCAAACGAATCACATACACACGCAGCACGTCGGTTAGTCTAAAGACGTACACGCAGCAGCAGTAGGGATGGAAGAGGGAAGAAGGAAGAAGGATAACGGTATTATAGTATGTAGGCGCGACAGGCGGTCGGTGCGGTCCAAAACAAAGTCAGGAAAAAAAAAGCAGGAAGGCCGCGCAACGTAGAATACTCCATAGTCTAGAGGGAGGTGGGTGACGTCCACTACTG